TCTTGGTTAATGTTAAATTAATGTGACAGTTGTAATAAAGCTTTATATTTAAGACTATCAACATAATATCAATGATTAGTAAAGAAGGCGAGACATTTCAGCGTGTGCACTCTTGTTTTTATAGTTACCAAGTTGATACAGACTAGTTATTTTTATAGTTACTGAGTTGATACAGTCTTGGGTTAAAGTTTGTTACAGGTCAATTACTTTGTCAAAGCTTCATGGAATTTTATGAAACTTTGTCAGAAGATTTTTATGATTAAGAGATAATGTCTGAAACAAACTTTTTAAAATATTTTTTTTTCATTTTCAGTTTTTTTTCTGATAGATAGACAGTTTTTTAGTTAACATTGACAGACAGTATGGGATTAAATGTTTTTGACATGATAAATTTGTAAACCTTCATCTGTTGTTATGAAACTTGGACAGAAGCTAATCTTCAATACCAAGAAACAGCATCTAAAGAAAATTTTTATATTTTTTTTTTAATTTCTGTATTTTACTGATAAATGGACTCACTTTTTTAAGTCAACATTACCACTTTTACACTGACATCAGCAATAGCAGGCGAGACACTGGGTTCCACGGAATCCCTTACAATTTTTTTTTCATTTTGTCTTAAACTTTAGTAGATAGATGTATTTTTGAAAAGCAAAAAAAAGATTTGAAAAATGATATTTTCAAGTTAGTCAATATAGCCAAATTGTCAGACTTCTTATAGGTTTGATTGCCCAAAAATGATAAATTTTTTTTACCAATTTTTATCTTGTAAACTAATAGATAGGTATAAACTGTAATCCATAAAAAAATATCTTCAATAGCAGATCTACAAAAATCTCACTAAATAAGATTTACAAATGAGCAAAAATAACTCATTTTAATCAATTTAAATTTTTTTTACATAACTAGATGTGCTCACCAAAAAAACTTGAAGCCATTTTTAGGAGTGAAAATTTGAGAATGAAAATCTGTATAACTGTTGTTTACAAGAAATTTTCATATCTTGTAGCTGCTTTGCTCTGCCTGTACAAAACTCATAGAGGATACCTAGTAGCCATATCCATTGAAGATGTTACTTTCTTAAATATAATAAAATTGGCCTGTCGTGTAAATAAGGAAGATCTACAACACATATGTTATAAATGAATTGATTTGATATTAAGCATCAACTAATAATTAGATAAAATGGGATGATATATTGAAGTGATATTTGTGACTAATAAACATGGATAAAGGTAACTCTTTATAGTAAATAAAAAAAAACTTCATATTTAAGTTGCAGTTGATATTTTACAATACATTTTAATAATTATCATGATTAACTCTTAAGTGTTCTATATTGTAAAAACAGTTTTATATAAGTTCATTTTTCCAGTTTTGATGATGACTTAAATTGCTCAAATGCAACACAAAACTATACCCAACTTTGAAAAAATGCACACTGGTTGTGAATGGGTTTTTTTTAAGCAATTATTTTTTTAAATATATATATAATTTGATATGCAGTTGAATGAGTCGAATGTCCCTTTGGTATTTTTAGTCTTTTTTGAATGGTTCATTAAGCTGTATTAAGCAATATTTGTCAAGTATCATTATCTTACATACCTATGTAAACTAATGACACTCTACAGTTATTCTGTTCAAAGTTTTCTAAATAATTTACCTGACTGTGCAATACCTGTATAGGTAGTCAAGGTTTTAGAAACATTCCATCATCAAATAATTTTCTTCAGCATTTTTCAACAAAAATATCAATATAATCAGAAGTCCATTACTAGAGGAAGTGTGCAAGCTGTACTATATAGCTGGGCGATCACACTGTCCCCGTTATCTCGTTTTTATCTGGATTTTTGAAATAAAAATCGGTTATTGATTAATTCATTTTGATACATCATATCTAATTTTAGAGAACTATTTTTAGTGATTAAATGATATCTAATGTAAGAGTTCTATGTTAAATCATATTTCTGTTCAAAGGGAAATAACTCAAAACTTATTCCATGAACCAGTAATGATAACATCAAAATTTCTTTTTAACTATTTTGTTTAAGTCATGTGTGTTAAGAAGGTAGATGTCACAGTTGTTATGTGGTATTTTATTTTTGTTGTGTGTGTTAATGTTTAATTTTTACATGATCCTGTTTGTGGTTCAGATTTGCAAATATCATTTTCATTATTAATTAGATAATAATCTATTTTAAATATTCAATCACAATCCAAATTCAGAGCTGTTTTAAGCTTAAATGTTGTGTCCATACTTGCTCAACTGTTCAGGGTTCGACCTCTGCAGGAAAATCTGGTTTGCTGTCACTTGACAGCCTCTTGTTCAACTATGGAATCATGGGTAAAAATGTTATCATCAAACAAATAGCTGTGAATTAGTCTCCTTGAGTGTTAGATTGATTATCAGTTTGTTGAAAATGAAATGAGCCAACTAATTAGTGCTGTAGTTTTTATTGCTAATTATTTAAAACTTCATTTTCAACAGAAAATGATATAAATTTTATAAAAGAAAACATTGGTACCATTTATCATTAAATTGTGCATGAGGCAAATGAATAGATATAAGAAGATGTGGTATGAGTGCCAATGAGACAACTCTAAACTATAAAAACTATCTCAAATCTGCTGTGACTAAAAATAAATCGTCTTTTTAAAAGATATCGTTGTTTTTGTCAAAATATAGTCATACTTGCTTCCATTTTAAATAGAACGTTGTGTTGACGAATTATGTCTCGGTTTAATATTTACACCATCAATGATATACCGTGATGTATAAGCGGAAGACAGGTTTCTGCTTCTCTAGTACAGAAATAAATCTGTCCAAAATAATCGAATACTTGTTGCTGCAGATGGCTTAAAAACAATTTCGAAATTTCAAAAGTCTCTTGTTTTTAATCTATTTTAAAGTGTGTGGGTCATCAATGCAACGACCCTATAGTTCTTTTTTTAGGTCATTTTATAAACACAAGACTGGAGACACCGAAGGCAAGCATATCATTAGGATTTATGTTTTGAAAAAAAACTTTGGATATATTATGTGTTGTTTGCTTAAAGTTCAGTGGCAAATATTTCATGCATATCACATCAAAGAGTTGTCGCAAGTGTTATTTAACATACAACGAGCGTAACATTCATCCTGAATACACGAGGTTCTGGATTTAAAGTCCCTCCTCCTACCTGACGTGGCTGCTAATTTATACATCCCACGCTTGTAAGAAAGGGGTTTACTGTGTGAACCAGACAATTTCAGGGATTACCATATTTCTATACCCAACTCAACCTTTGAGATTGATTTTGTACTCGAACAAATTAAATCTAGTTGTTCTACAGTAAGACTTTATCATAATTAAGTATGAGGTATGCTTACATGATGATTATATATTCATTACTTATTTGTTTACTAAGATCGTGATTGCAACTTTTCCTTCAATTTTAATCCTTAACAATTATATACCAAGACACGTGTTGTTTTAACATGTATTTTAACGGATAAATTTTATGAAATCTCACTGAAATGACAACTTTTGTTCGTCCACACCATTATCCGAGGTAGTATTACTGATAAAATATTACGTAAGGATTGAAGATATTCGAAATTGAAAAAGGGGCATAATATTAATGTTTTCTCTTTTTATTTTCAAAATTGAGGGTTACATTTGTTAGTTTTGCTAAAAGTGGATATATCTGCAGAATTTTCGTTCAGCTTTAAAACAAAAACTCTTATTTCTTAAAATTTGTAAAACGTAAAAGACCCATACTTAAAAAAATATAATGTAATTTTTTTTTTTCCTTTTAAACTCATTCTTAATTTAGTGTTACTTGTACTGTATATGGATGCAAAAGTTTTATAAAATATGGCATCTAGGATCTGCTATTCATTAACACGTCGATGGCCAAACATTATTTTCAACTGTGTGCTAATTGAGTTATAGGGTGTTTTGCATAAATTATCTCTACCCAGAATGCATTGCAAAAACTCTGGCCATTGATTTTTGTTACTATTAAGAGAAATCTCGCTCAAATCCCGTTTCAATCACAATTGGAAGTATGGGGACAGCGTGATCGCCTTACTATATAGAGGGTTACACACTTCCTCTAGTAATGGACTTCTGATATAATGCATTCAAAATGAAACTTTTTTTTTTTTTTATAGAAGTCAAAAATTGACCTTATTGGCATATTTGTATTATTGACATCTGTTTCTGCAAAACAACCTTGATTAAAGACTGTATGGTCTCACTAATAAATAAGTATGAAAAAAATTCAAATTGAGGAATAACAGAACTGTGCAGTGGCGGATCCAGAAATTTTCATAAGAGGGGCCCACTGACTACCATAAGAGGAGGCCCGCTTAGTCATGCTTCAGTGATTCCCTGAATAATCAACCAAATTTTTCCCACAAAAGGGGGGTGGAGGGCTAGGGCACCCCCCCCCCCCCCCCAAAAAAAAAAAAAAAAAAAAAAACACCTCTGCTGTGTATGAATAGTTGCCTTCATTCATTGGTCACTTAAAAGCAGTTTTATTGTCGACAGTTAAATCCAAAATTGACTGTGACAACTCTTTAAACACAGTATTGTTATTTCCTGTCCATTCTAATGGTATAGTGCATACTAGTGAAATGTTCAAAATAATGATTTGAAATATCCCAGAAATGTTGTCTGCCAGTGCTCCAAGTTGTTGTTAATGCCTTTAGATCTTGTTTAATAACTATAAAGGACATGGTACAATTTAAGACCCAATATGCCCTTAAATCAATCTATCTAAGAATTTCAGAGTTAAATGTTGAATGTATGTGGATCGAGTCATCTTTGAAACTTCAAAGAAAGTTAGCAAACCTATCCCTTCCATTACAGAGTTCTGTAAAGATAATTCTAATCTTACATTTTATATTTCCATATATATTTGAATATTTTGTAATAGGTTATTCTCCATTGTTTAAGAAACCTTCTGTGCAAACTGGTCATTAAGTCTTAGATCCATATTTATTATTATTTTAGTGAAGGTGCTATTGAATTTGGATGTACACATTTGAAGATTCCTCCATCAGTTTTGAAGGTAAGCCATGTAATTATATTCTCTGAAATTGTTTTAGGTAGCACATAACTGTGACTAGCAATGAAATTTCCAAACCTAAATGGTTATCTAGGTCAAAATGGCTTTAATGTATATTTATCAGTTATTAACTGATATAAATGTGATGTGGGCCTTTTCTTACTTTATTATTAATGATATCAAATGACACATTATTAACTAGATAATGCATAATTCTTTGTTACTATTTAGCTCACCTGGCCAAATGGCCAAGTGAGCTGTTCACATCACTTGTCGTCCATTGTCCGTTAACTTTTACAAAAATCTTCTCTTCTGAAACCACTGGACCAAATTTGACCTAACTTGCCCAAAATCATTATTGGGGTATTTAGTTTAAGAAATGTGTCCAATGACCCTGCCTGTCAACCAAGATGGCGGACATGGCTAAGAATATATCATAGGGGTAAAATACAGGTTTTGTCTATTATCTTGATAACCCCTATGAATAGAGAAAATCTGAAAGGGGCAGAAATGATAAAAATGTCGAGATCTTTCCTTTTGAAATGTTACCTGCTCTTAACAAAATTACAGATAAAAGATAATGTATTGAATTTATTTTACAATGTTTTTTCAGCAGTAATACTGAGAAGCTGCAAGACCAGCTGTGATGGAAAATCTCAAAAAAATTTTGAAAATGTAGTTTAATTTCAGGATTCAGATTCTCAAAGTTCATGAGGAGATTTACTGGATGAATGCCCATGGTACTAATTTTGGGTTGTGCTGTGGGCTTTCATACAGGTAGAAACTGTTATGGGTTCAGGAGTTATTGTTCCTGATGGATTCAAAAAAGATTTATCTTGTTTCTACATCTTAATTGACAAGCCTTTCAACCAATCCTTTTCAAGTAATGATATATTGGGTCTGATTTCCACCTATGTTTTTCAGGAGTTGTGGCCCTTTATTGCTATAATAATAACACTAATAATTTAAAGAAAACCAGGTATGCTGTCATTTTGACTGCCTGTTTAAATTTTGAGACAAAAGTCAAATAATGGATCATGACTAGATGAATGACAAAGCCTACATATTCAAAACTAAAAAAATGAATTGCTATTTTAGAAAATCAAAGATGATGTAACAGTCTCTCCAAATGGAGTGGTGTTTGTGAAACAGAGCATAAGGAAAGGAATCATTTCAGCGTAAGTTAGTTTTGTATTTAGCTTTGTTAAAAGATTGACTGACCTTTATTCTTCAGGATTATTTCTGACCCCTTGCAGCAAGCAGATATGAATAAAATCATATGTGGTATATATGTCAATGAGATAATACCCCAATAGCACAAAAAACTAGAGGTCAACATATGATCTTTTTACACAACCTCAAAAATTTTTGGGGTCGTATATTGGTATCACGTCGTCAGTGTCATCCGAAGACATTTGGTTTCCAGACAGTAACTTTAGTTTAAGTGTATGGATCTCTATGAAATATAACCAAAAGGTTCAATACCACTAAAGGAAGGTTGGGATTGTTTTTGGGGGTGATGGTCCCAACCATTTAGGAATTAGGGGCCAAAAAGGGGCCAAAACAAGAATTTTTCTAGTTTCAGGACAATAATTTGTGTATAAGTATTTTGATTGCTCTGAAATTGAACCACAAGGTTCAATACCACAAGTAGAAGGTTGGGATTCATTTTGGGGGTAATTGTCAAAACTGTTCAGGAATTAGGGGCAAAAAGGGTCTAAAACAAGCATTTTTCTAGTTTTCAGACATTAACTTGTGTTTAAGTGTATGGATGTCTCTTAATTTGTACCACATTTTACAAAAAGAAAATTTCTTCAAAATTGATTTTTTTGGAAGCGGTTGGGAGGGGGCAATTTTTTTCCTCAAAACAAAATTCTCTTCAAATATTTTTTTTGGAGGGGGAGGGGGGTAAAAAAAAATTTGGGGGGTCAATTTTTTTCACTCAAGATTTAAGAAATTGTCAATTTTCCAAAGAAAAAAATTGGGGGTCAAAATTTATTTTGCTAATTCTTTGTATATAGTCTGAAAACAGATTTACTAAGTATTGCGCAACAGCACAGTGAATTGCACAACAGCAAGAAATCTTTAAATGAATATCAATTAAAATCATACAACCAATTTCAAGTTCTTTGACTACATTTATTCTGTGTCAGAAACCTATAATGTGTCAAATATTTAATTACAATCCAAATTCAGACCTGTATCAAGCTTGAATATTGTGTCCATTTTTGCCCCACCTGTTCAGGGTTGGACCTCTGCGGTCGTATCCAGCTGCGCTCGGCGAAGCAGTTTATTATCTAAGGATAAGTGTCTACACAAAATATCTAAAACTCTAAATCACCCTGTGTCTAAGTAAGTCCATTTTATTTTCATATACAGGTTTTATTGAAATTTTCAGCTACAGACATAACTATCTTGTTGAAAACAATTATTTATGACCAATGAATTTTTTTACCTATTTCCCTTCCATGATTCTTCAAAGTTTGTATTTGGTTTTGGAATTTCAAATATTTTGGCCTCTAGCATCACTGAAGAGGCATTAGTTATCAAAATTCCTATTTTGTCAGTAAAATATGTTATTACTACCACTGGGTCAATACCTCTGCTTGTGGACTGTTTGTCCTAGAGGGAATCACAAAGCTCTTAGCCAGTACTTTGATTCAAGGATGAAACATGAATATTGTTTTATCATAATTTGCTGTTTTAAAATTTCAAAATCATTTTCAATTAAGGAAGTATCTCCCTAATGCATAACTGTGATTCCTTTTCTAAGTATGACCTTCCTTTCCACCTTTTTTAATTTGATCAGCTCTTCAGCATTTGTATTAGGTTTTGGAAATCCAAATATCATGGCCTTGAGCTTCCTCGAGAGACATTAGTCCAAATGTGCATCTAGTGCAGTTTAATTGGTACCTTTTATGCTATTACGATACCTCTGCTAGTTAACTGTAAGTGCCAGAGTGTATCACCAGCCCATTAGCCAGTACTTCAGTACTTGCATGAAAATTAGGATATTGTTTTATTTTCTTATGGGGATTTGGCTTTAGTTTTTGGTCCTTTTTGGTTTTATCAGCTCTAGATTTTGGACATTAGTTGTAGAAATGTGCATCTGGTGCAGTAAAATTGGTACCATTAATGTTATTAGGGTATCAAGTATAAATTTTGTGTTTATTGTTCCTTTCAATCATACCACATGGCTTAAAATAAAACATTTTGATAAAATGCATTAATTGTCTAATATCGTGAAACTCATAACAGATTTAGAAAATTTGACAAAGCAAACGTTCAAAATATCAAGATCTACCTACACCCTCTCATTTTTACCAAAATTATCAGATGACTCCTTATAGGAGTTTATGCACTTATATGAGATTATTTTTACTAATTTTTGTGGTTTTGCCTACTATCTGTAAAACTCAACTGTAAACATAAAAAATGAGCTGTAATACAAGATATACTAGAACACACCCGCGAAATCGCGGGCATTTAGAGCGTGGTTGAAAGTATGTAAAATGTTGTATGATGATTTTTTTTAAAAGATTTTATGACTGGAGAATTTCAGGAAAGGTATCAAAAGTCTATAGCCCTACCCTTTTTTTTCCAAAAATCCGTTATTTTATTTCTTCTATTAATTTCAATTATTTTCGCGATTTTCTGTAAACAATGAACATACATATACTATAAATAAAGTGTATTTGCTTTTTACTATCAATTCCAAGTTTACTATCCACTATAAACTTGGAATTGATAGTAAATAGCAAATACACTTCATTTATAGTATATGTATGTTCATAGTATACAGAAAAACGCAAAAATAATTGTCCCGTCCCCAAGTACCTATGAAAGTTTAAACAGTCCTAAACGGAAGTTTTGTCTTTGCCGATGAAGGAAACAATATCCGGACACCTTTATTTTCATTTTTCTCCCAAAATAACCCAAACGGAATAATCATAAGCGAGGATGACAAACGCGAGTATGCATGGTACCTATAGGACACAGAGGCATGACGATTAATTTATTGTGGAAGGAAGAGAAGCGACACACAAAATGAGGTCTTCTCATTTAATAGTATAGATTATGAAAACCAAGGGATGATGCCTTATAGGAGTTATTGCCCTTAAATGATTATTTTTGGCTATTTTTCAAGTTTTTTACTATTTTCTTGGAAGACAATCACAGATAGGTATAAACTGTATAAACAGCAAAAAAGATCAGCAATACAAGATCATTGTCATTTTGCTTAGTTTCTTCTGTTACCTATTCTAACATCGGACTCAGACTTCTTTTAAACTGAGTTTTACTGTGCATATGGCTGCATATTTTGTTTATTCTACATTGGCTAGAGGTATAGGGGGGAGGTTGAGATCTCACAAAATATTGCAAATGACAAACACTGAAGACTCCTGACTTGGGACAGCACATAAAGAAAGTGACAGGGTAAAATTGTTTGTGGGTGTCCAAACCTTTCTTAACCTGGGACAGTGGTGTTACAGAACATTTTGAAAGGGCTTGGACACATAACAAAAAACAAAAAACACAAAGTACCAATCAAAGATTGCTCGCTATAACTGAAATCATGTTTAAAACCAATTTCTACTAATAAATTTTTGTTGTTACTAAGATATCAATCGGCACACATCCGGCCAGTTCAGTGTAAAGACATCATATAGAGTATTACCTTGTGCAATGCTAAAGTATAAGTATAGAGAGAATAAATATTTAATTGTGTTGTAATTTATTAAAAACAAAATCAATGATACATTACTTGCAACCCTAGGTGTTACTGTATTAGCTATCAGTCAGTAATCGTCAATCTGTCACTGATAAGTCTAACTCATGTCACCAATCCTTCAATCTTATTTTGATCTGTCTTTACGGATAGAAATCTATAGCATCACTGTTGACCTTTTGTAAATTACCGAATTATAGTCTCATTTCATTCTGACATTTAAAAGGCTGCCCAAAGAAGTTCTTCAGCCAAATGGCAAAACTATGTTTGTGAAATGCCTAAAATGCAAGAAATCCTCCAGAAACAAACCAAAGTATAAAAGAGAAATATAAAACAATAAAAATAATTGAGTAAGTCATAATCCACATTAATCTTACTAACACCAAGTTTCCAAAATAGTAGATAGCACACTGTCAATTCAAAATGAAGTACTAAACAATATCAATCTAGTGGAAGAAAACAAATTATGGCAAAGTGACTACGTAATTTGGCAGATATTTTTATATTATCAAGATTATCTATTTTGTTGGAAATTCTTTTTAAATTGATATTTGATTCAAAAAATGAACGACAAAACCATTGTTGCAAAGAAAGTCCTTAGCAACTGTGCTAGTTCTAAAGCTATATCCTGTGGAAGTTTGATTTTAAGTGGAAAAAATTTTAATTATTCGGTGGCGTTAACGTTATTGATGTCTACAGTAACGTGGCTACAACTTCTACGCTATAACGCTATGATACTGTACAGTGTTGTATCAAATTGTGAATGTGTATTACCTATTTTCCTAATTATTGAAAATGCTCAAGCGTAATCAATTGATAAGAAAATAAACTGACTAATTTTCAAAGTATATTTGCCTCCAAAAGAAAATGCAAATTGGCAAATAAATGTACTGCAAATAAAAGAAAGTTACTGTAGGCTTTAACTCCACCTTTTTATATGACCGCAAAAAAATTTTTGTGGTCGTATATTGGTATGACATTGGCGTCGGCGTCGTTGTCCGAAGACGCATTAGTTTTCGCACTCTAACTTTAGTTTAAGTGAATGGATCTCTATGAAATTTTACCATAAGGTTCAATACCACAAAAGGAAGGTGGGGATTGATTTTGGGGGTTATGGTACCAACATTTAAGGAATTAGGGGCCAAAAAGGGGCCAAAAATAAGCATTTTCTAGTTTCCAGACAATAACTGTGGAATGGTGTATGGATCTCTCTGAAATTATACTACAAGTTTCCATACCACCAAGGGATGGTTAGGATTTGCTTTGGGGGGTTATGGCTCAAACCGTTTAAGAATTAGGGGCAAAAAGGGGGAAAAACAAGGTTGTCCTGGTTAATGGACAAATACTTTAGTTCAAAACATAATTTAAAGCAGTGTAAGGGAGATAAATCAAATACATCATTGAAATTATCTCCCTTACACTGCTTTTAAATTATGTATAAAGTAATGG